GAAAAGAAGGAAGGAAGGAAAAAGGTCAGAGTTTTTGTTCAGCCTAATTGTCGGTCATGTGACTCAAATCATTTCCTCCAAGTCTCAAGCAAGTTCTTCTTCTCTTGGTGAAGTCAAGTCAAGTTACTCCCCAGGAGTCTTACCTGTAATATCTGGCCTTTATAAAGGCAAGGTATTAATACCTAATAACCTAATAATAACAGCTAACAGAACTACCGGCACACACACTGCTGTACCTCATCCGCTGCAAAGCAGGCCGACAGTTTGGTGAGTTTAATTCTGCTTTTGGAAAAATAGTTTTAAGGGTCTTACATGACGACTTCGTGACGATTGCTTCCATACATCGCCACACGTTTCGAGTTTGAATGAAGTCTACTTGACAAAGCTTTACAGCCCATTGTATTCGTTCTATCAAACATTACAGCCGTGGACGTATCAGACCCGCCTGGTTGAGATCTGCACTCTTCTGAGTGCACCTTTTTAGCTTTTGTAAGAGTTTGGTATAATTAGAAGTTTGTTTGTAGAAGTTGTAATGCCTTACATTAAGGATTATAAGAAAGCCAAAGTTCTCAAGTGGTAAATATTTTGTGAAATTGGTAAAAAAATAAAAAATAAATTAAAAAAAAACACAAAATGATGAATTTGGCCACACATTCAATCCCAGCTGTACTCTCTGCTACGGACATATTTCAGTTTGTTGAGAAAAAGTATTGATGTTTAATACACTGCCTTAATTCTGGTGGTTTATTAAATGTTTTTTCAAGCTCTCAGGCGCTTGTATCTACATTTGTTCAGTGTCATCATGGCTTCCCTTGGAGATTTTAGGATTAGGACCGACTGTGAAAATAGCTTTTCTACTGAAATCCTCCAGTGTTTCAACTGTGATTATAAAGCAGAGACTTTAAAGGTTCACTGCTCCTTCAGGCTTCATATTCTCTCTCTCTCTCTCTGTGTGTGTCTCACCTCATCTTTTAAGTGAAAATATGTGGCACGCTGTGTTGCGTGGATACGGGCAAGCAGAGTCTGGCTGTTCAGAGTAAATCTATTTTGAAAAGAGAGACATATTAAAGTCCCATTAAAAAGAAAACATTTCTTTAACTCTCTCTCGCTCTCTACCTCCATTTCTTTCTAATTTATTTATTGGCTTCATTTTGCTCTTTCCCCTCTAGATATCATCAACATTTATAACCATAATTATGTTTCCTTTAAACCGCCGTTTGTTATATCCCTCTGTGTTCTTCTTTCCTCTGATGTGTTTTGGGTCGGCGCTGTTGTTGTGTCTGCTGCGTCAACAGAGGTGTCTCATTTTCCCTGCAAGACAGACACCCAAGAACGTTGTTGTTTCGCCGGCCGCCTCCTGTCTGCCACAGTGATGCATTGTGGGAAGGCTAACTAACTGCTTTTCCCGAGCTAAGGCAGCAGGCTGCCAGGCTTGTGATGAATCTGGCTGCAGTCAAGTCCTTGTTTAGTTCTCTGTGTCTGTTCTTTTCTCACTCCCCTCCCGCTGTGATCTCCTGAGGTTTTCAGAGGTCTGGTCTGGGCTGACTGAAGCATTTGTGCACCTTGTGTTTCCTCTATTTCTCCCCTCTGGCTTGTTAAAGTCTAAATTCCACCGACAGCTTTGAAGTGTGTTGAATGTGTTTGTGTGTTTTGTTTTGTTTTTTCTTTTATTGTACACAGTGATATTTGCACTTGTTGCGCCTGCAAAGCAGATGTTTTTAAGCAACAACACTTTGCTCTGGAGTTTTCAGACAATTTTACAACGATTGTTGTTTTTTTTTAAACAATGCATGCAGAGAAAGTGCAGGCAGAGGCTGACACCTTCTTCGTCTCCAGTTCCATAAAAACCTCCGGTGCTCTGGTGTGATACGATCCCACCACCTGCCTACCTTCAGGCAGCGCTTCACAGCCCCTGGGACGGGAAGAGGACAAAGACTGATACATTGATTCGCCCGCAATCTTCCTGTCACAGCCAAATGAAAAAGGAGCACTGTGCCTTTAATCTTGCTGTTGAGCCCTGCAGTGGCATTTTCTCCTCCGCTTTTCAAAAAGCTCCGCCGAAGTGGTACCTGGCTGCCTGCCTTGCTCTGAGGGAGGTTGCTGGTTCCCAACCAGGTGTTTATCTCTGCTCTCTTCTCATCTCCCCCTCCTGCACACTTCACTCGGCTTAATCCAGTGTATACTTAAGGCACGGATATAAAAGAAACTGCTGTCAGCACTGTTCCGTCTCACCGTGAAATATGAAGATTCTTATTACTGTCATGTTTGCCCTTAACCCGACATATAATCCAACCCTTATTTCTGCAAGTGTGCGGCGTGGAGTCTTGCTAAATGATTCAAACAACCATTTTAATCCATTTATAAAGCTTTGGCATGCTTGTGGCTGTAAAAAAAAAAAAAAAAGGAATATTTCACATGATTTATTGCTGGTCTGAGGGAGTCTGAGGACTTTGTCTTCAAGTAATCTGTCAAACACAGTTCAGCAGCAAATCTGCAGCTGCAGCTAAAATCTCCGGTTACTTTATGGTCAGCAAACGTGGGTGAAGCGCGGCGGAGCAGCCCTCTCTCCTCCTTCACGTTTCCAGTCCGTGGTGGACATTGTTGGGGAATCTAAAACATTTTCTCCCAAAAGCCTTTGTGCCTCATTCTTACGTAAACAACAAGAATCTGCAGCATCTGTTGCGCATGCAGAGGAGCTTTCGTGCCAGCCAAAAATAGTTAACATTGGCAACAATTCACGTGTGTGGTCTTTATCAAGGTTACTTCAGTTCATGAAGGCAGTTTTGAGAGAAACCCCTCTACATTGATGTTATACATATTCAAATTGCATGCTAATCCTTTTTTTTTCTTTTTCTTTTGCAGAATGACAATATATATTCCCAAGTGTAATAACGACAAGCGTGTAAATTCAAGTGTTTTTCTATTTCTTTCTGCCAAAAAAACTGTTGTTCCAGTTGTTCACTGGTGGAACTTGCTGTCATCAGACGGAGCAGCTTTCAATATGCAAATGTGTGAGGAAAGAAGACAACTGAGCCGCTCCAGAGATGTTCAGTTCTAGGACAGTGTTGGTGTTTTGGTACAGAATCAGGGGACAAACAGCTCCACTGTTGTCAGACGAGCTTCCACAAAGCAGGACTGCTGTTGCAAACAAATAGACAGGACATGCCCTTGTGTAATATCCAACTTATGATCAAATGTCCTTTACACATATGTGAGGAAACGGCATTGCCGAGTCCTCTGCTTGCATTCATGTTTGAATTTCTCAAAATAGGATTAGCTCTCCTGTCCCGGGCCTACTCGGAGAAATTCACCATCTTTGTTCTAAATTTGATAGGTTTAACGTTGCAAAAATGATTTTATTATCTGACTTGACCTGTTTCTGTAGTGTTTTGATTTCAAGCTCAGGAAATCTCAAAAAGCCTGCAAGAAATTAGATTTAAAACTGGAAGCATCAGTCAGTTTGAGCTCCGTATTAAAGTTGGTTTGTGCGTCAGTTAACTTGCACATGCACACATGAAATTGAAGAGGCTTGATAAAGAACAAGGCTGTTTTGTAATGTCACATGCTTGTGATTTTTGCATTCACGTTGTTCCTCGGAGCATTCACAACTATTTTGGACACAGTCTTTTTTCCCCCTCTTCTCTTTTCTGTCTTTTCCTAATGAGCATGTTTGTGCCCTACGGTCAGATGACACAAAGTCCAGTTAGACTGAAGAGCTTTGGGGGGCAGATTTTTCGTACTTGCAGTGAAAATGACTTACGGATTGTGCATTTACTTCTGTTTGTCAAATCCGTTTCACCTCAAAACATGGAAATGAAACAAAAATAAGCTTGTTCAAAATCGCAATGACAAACAAATCACAAATGGGCAATAGGCTGCTGGAGGCTTGGTTGGCACCTTCTGAGCTATTACCTTGAATTTAAAGGCTTTGGAGTGTTAAATCACTGCGCTGGATTTTGAAAGATTGCATAGTATTCGATAGACACACAGCGGATTAAGGGATGGATACGTCTGACATGAATATGATGTGAAGGGTGTCAACATCCTTCTTCCATCTGTATGATCTGTGATCCAGCTGCGATTGTTGGCCTATTTGTGTCACGCGTCCCCAGGTCTCACCTAACAAACATTTTCATGTTCAGTACTTATTGATGTGACGGGCTGCAACAACTGTCAAAACCAAGCGGGTATCAAAAAAAAAAGTAAACCTGAGATGTGGAAAGTGTAGTTGCTGCTTTTATTGTTTTATGAAAGCGCGGCCAAAGTTTTTCTCAGGTAGCATTCCAGAACTCTCTAACGTCACTGTGCTCTTGATGGGTTAAAATTAAACCTGCCTTTAATGAAGACCTAAGGTGTTGGACTTGGCCTCCCTCCAGATGTTGTTATTTGTCCAATGCCGTCTGAAAAAGGTGCTTTTTTCTTTTTTTCTCCGTTTATTGGCACATCAAACTCTCACACACACACACACACACACAGTCACACATGTAGAAAACATTATGTTCCTAATCTTATGCGACTTGTGCTCACATCTGACAGGGTACATTTTCTAGATTCCAGTTCTCTATCTCTCTCTCTATTTCTCTCTCTCTCGCTATGACTCAAACATCCACTTCACCCTCCTCCTCCTCCTCCTCTTTTCTTCAGGGACAAAATTGTTGACTTGGCTGTGGGCAAATTCACACCAAAACATTCAACAGAGGCCTGAATACTTTTTGAGTTTGTCACCATAGATTGCCTCATAGACCCACTCCCAAAACAACAAAGTGTTAATCACAAACTTGATTATAAAACTTGAGCAACTTAGACATAGCCATGAGGCACATGAGGGCTGAAGGCATGCTTGCATCCCTGCAATGAATCTATGGAGAAACCTGCATTTGGCAAAAACACGTTTTTATTTATGCAGGAAATGCTGATGACCAGCATATGAAGGCAGATTGCATCTAAATAGTTTGTGTGTAACTCAATTTATTCCCCCCCCTCCTCTTGTCTCCCTACAGTGCCTGGGAACCTGGGCTGCTTCAAAGACAGCGGTGACCCACCGACCCTGTCCGGCACCAGCGAGACCTCCAACAAACTCACCATCCAGAACTGTATCAGCTTCTGTAGGAAGCAGAGATACAAGGTGAGATTTGAACCTGAAGTGGATACGTATAAACCTGTAACCCAAGAGATGTTCAGCATTATATCTTAACTCCGAAAGCTGGCAGCTCCTGTCAGAGAAAACATTGAAAACATTACAAACTATTGACTCCTTCGTCCCGGCGATCGTACTGAAAAGTCCGAACGTGTCCCCTAATTGGACGAAAAAAAAGTCCCCAGTCAGTAGCCAGTGTCTTGCCTAAAATAGACACGAGCTGGCCAGAGCAATAGTCAAGCTTTCATGTAAATCATCTGCATTTACAGGCAATTTCCTGACAGTTATCGCCGCGGTGCCAAGTTTAGTCTATACCCTCTTTATTCAGCCATCAAACGTTCTGTTTCAAACCAACCAGCGGATGACAAATCATCACAGCAATCAATGCTGACAGCTGGAAATGAAGGGTTATTAGCCCACTGGGCACCTCCTCTTCAGTGCGTTTTCTCATCTCTGTATCTGGCATGCCATTGTCCCAGCTATAAACATTGCCAGGTGTTCATTTTCTGTCTCAGTAGATCCGGTTCATCTCTGTCTGCATTGACAGATACTGACAGAACCCCCACCCTCACAATTCAGCAGATGTTACAGGATGTGGCGGCAGACTGGCATCGCCTGCCTACCCTTGGACCGTCACTCGTCCTTAATGCGCATGTGAGACATCGGCGCCTCGGAAAGCACGCATCCCTTGTGACGTTCTGACAAAGAGCATGCCTGATGAGTTAGACAGCAATCCATCGCTTGTTTGCTTCTGCCAGAAGTATTCACGTTGGTGTTACTTCATCAGATAGAATAATGCAACAAGGACGTAGCTTGATACGTCTTGGCGCGAGCAGAGGGCTTCATAAATTCCGATTCCATGACAAAAGACGCGGAGTGGGAAATGATGCAGTACCTTCGGTTGTGTGAATTCATTTAGGGCCTGAATGTGGGACAATGGTGTCCTTTTTGAAAGAAGGACAATAGCTCTTTTGAGAACAAGCAGCCAGTGGTGGCGAGGTCAAGACGTGTGAAGGTTTTTTGACGTTTGGCATTCCCGCTCCGACGCTTTCGGGAACGGTTTACTAACAGTTTTGATTTGAGAGATAGATGGGTGCTATTTCTGTGAGGTTTATTTCCTACACCCTGTGTGCAGCTGTGTGTTTGAAAGAAGTCTTCTAATCAGCTGAGAGGTTGTGGTTTTCCAGACTCGGATTACAGCATCTTGTAATCATGAGAGAAAGAGCAATTAGGGCATTTTAGACTCAAGTCGCTTTAATTTCAAAGAGAGAAGGAGCTGCATGCAGTGAACTGTTTACTAAGTGTTAACACACATTCTGCTGATATGAGACAAACAACCCATAAAAGTACTTTTATTTGAATGTGTTGTGTATTTGCAAACTTATTTTATTTTTATGCAAAGTTGTTATGTAATCATGTATAGTTTTATGGAGAAAAATTCCATTTTGAATGTTTTTAGAGGGAATATCTAAAATCTTCATGTTTCATTCACAAAGTTTCGTCTCTCAGTCGTTGGCTTTTTTTCTCGCCGGCAACCATGCCAAATGAATTTACCATGAATGGCATTATGGGAAGTGTTACCCAAAGTTTGTTTTGAATTGCTGATGCAGTGATTTGCATAACTCCTTTTGTCTTTTTACAGCTCGCCGGCATGGAGTCAGGATATGCCTGTTTCTGTGGCAACGAAGTGGACCAGCGTGACCACGGCGAGTCGCCCAGCATGGAGTGTAACCATGTTTGCTTCGGCGACCACACCCAGCCCTGCGGTGGAGACGGCTGGGTCATCATCTTTGACAGTGAGTGTTAACTAGTGTCGCTGTGGGTCTGACTCTGTGATCTTTTCACATCTGTGCTGCGAGTTAGTATGAATTGTGCTGGGAAAATGCAACAAACTTTAATTGTAGGGTTTCCAAAAGTAATGAAAGTTAAATCAATTGTTCAAATACATCTGTATCTGTGGTAATAACCATTAGGGCTCTTGAGCCCCTGTCCCACTGGACCAAAAAGAAACACTAGAACCCACTAACATCTGACTTTGGCCTTCAGGAAAATGACTCTGCGGTAGTTACAGGGATTTATCAGTTCCGGTGCAATGCTATGAATATGGAATAAATAAAATCAACAGGGATTTTTACAACTATCATAATCTATTAACGTACAAAACTTACAATTAATACGCTCTCCTTAAAGCCACCGGACTCCAATGAGACAACAGTCATTTTACCTCGCTGATCATCGAAACACTTGACAGGAACAGAATAAAACTCATCAAAATCGTGTTTGTTAGTCTTTGCACTGTTCCAACAATCACCAAAATCTGGTTTGAGAGTTCGAAAGAGAGACTGAATAAGTAACAGATATTTTTTTTAAAACAAAAGAACCCACCATAATGTTTTTGCAGTTTACTAACCCTTCTTCTGGGCCCGGACAACGCATCCTATTCATTGAATGTGACACAGTAAGAAAAATAGAAGCAGAATGGCCAGGGTAGGCATACTTGCAATGGGAAAGGAGTCTATTGCCTTTTTAAAGCGGGTTTTCCCCCAATGGTTTGTTGAACAAGGCTTCAACAAACCTCCAGAAGGCACAGAAGCCCTCCTTCCCTCGCCATAACTGGGATCATACCTACAACCTTCAACATTAATGCACATCAGCATTTATTATGTTATATAATATTTGACATAATTATTGCCTGTTGGTCTTAGAGCTGCACTAAACAGCTTGTTAGTTTGAGATTGTCTAACTGAAGTTTTAAAAGTTTAAAGAACTATCCATCGCTTTCTCTCCTAATACCTATTCTGAATGCTTAACTCAAAGATACTGTGTTTACTGTGGATCAATCACTTCATGGCTCATATACCTCAGCCACTCTTACCAGGGAACTCATGAGACCAAAGATAACCCAGTTATCATCAGTCTCAACAGCTTCTAAGCTTTCAAAGCATCGCTGACTATTGTCCTCTCTTTGTTTGTGCTCTTTCTTCCAGCTCGAGTTGGGGCCTGCGGTGGAAACTACTCCTCTCCGTCCGGGGTGATCTACTCCCCGGACTTCCCCGACAAGTACGGGGCTGGCCGTGTTTGCTACTGGACTGTGCACGTCCCCGGATCCTACGCCATCCTCTTCAACTTCACCTTCTTTGAGATCTCCGACCAGACGGACATGGTGGAGCTCCTGGACGGCTACACCAACCACGTGGTGGCTCGCTTCGACTGGCGTAGCCCTCCGAGGGAGCTGGTGAACGTCACAGGCGACTACGTCATACTGTACTTCTACTCAGACCGCACCAACCAGGCCCAGGGATTTGCTCTGCTTTACCAAGGTAGGACTTCACTTGCTGTTCAGTGTTTCTGCTGAGAAAGGTTATGTACAATGAAGAACGGGTTTGTAAAATGTGTCAAAGCCTACACTCTTGGAAATAAGGGTACTAACTAGAACCATAAAGAGTTCTTTGGATGAAATGGGTTGTTAATGGAACTCTTAGTCTTATGAAGAACCCTTAAAAAAGGGTGTATGACAAAGAATGATTATGTTCGGTTTGAGTTCTAGCAAACATCCTGAACTACAGTACCCTCAAAACCACCGAGAGCCACATTTGCATAATCAGGTGCGTGCTGACTCGCTGGCTCCATGATGGAGTTTTGCATGGCAGCTCTGGTTTCGTGGACTAACGCCTGTTAGCTGTGGTGAGGCAGTTGTCACGCCACTGGCAGGCCCTTTTCTCTTTTCATTTGCTAGTCAATGTCTCACAGCCCCGGGTGATACTGCATATTTAAATCATGTTTTGTTTTTCTAGGAACTCGCTCTCTTATCAAGCTGCAGCAGGCTGCTGTGCTTCAGAGTGCTCCTTGGTGAATTGCACAACGAGTTTTTATGCCACCTATATACAAAACACTGTGATGCATCGCACCCTCTGATCATGATTTTCACTGTAGAGCAGACATACAGCTGGGGAACTATAGCTCACAGGGAGTTGAAGACCTCACAGCAAATGTGTTTTTATCTCTCTCCGGACTAATGTGGAAAATGTAGAAAGACTAATGTGGAAAAAGAAGAGCTTGTTTTTATATTACTGTACGTTCTCTGATACAGAGTCCCTGCCTGAATAGTCTGAATGCACCAAAATAAACTGTAATAGATAAATTTCTGGAGGCATGATAGTGTAGGTGACATTCAAGCTCACAGCTCGCTACACTGTGAGGCAATCTGTCCTCGCTCCTCCCTCTCTCTGCCTCCATTTGTAATCCCCTGTCATTTTTCTCACCGCTGGCGTTGTAGTAAAAAACAATATCAGAAGGTCATAATCCCCTGACCTCTGGACAGGCACGATCCTTTCTGCTCACGTCTTGGTTCTTGTTTTACGTGAGCCATCATGTAGCCAAGAAATGGAATCTGCCACATGATATGAGAAAGGTCACCTCCTGAAGTAATAGGTTGTTTTTTCTTCCCGAAAGATAGAGAGAAAAATACACAGTCACTTGGGTGTGGAGATAAATAATAGGAACAGAAACAGAAAGACAACAGTCAAACAAAGTTAAAGTAGAGGTAGCGGCACTAAATGCATCTTATATCTCCTCTGTGGCACGCTGAGCGGTCGAAGCAGTAATTTCAGAATAAATGCTCACAGATGACGGTCGACATCGGAGCATTTCAGCTGAGCCCGGGTTTTGAAGCGTGGTATTTTGTTTGCAAATGGGGAACATGTGGGAAGTTCTGGGAACATCACAGTCAGGTTGAACTGTTATGTGAAAAAAATAAAAGAAATCCCACACTGCTTTAACATCCAACCACCGTTCATGGATGACTGGATATCAAATAATATCTAGAATTAGTTTTGGGTGATTTAACCGAGGTGGGACACAGGATGGGTGGGTTTTACCATTCAGTTTGCAGTGCAGTAACTCATCTTACCACTAGGAGTCCTCCTTTATTCCGCTAAAGTTTCTGACTGTTAGTTTCTTCATAAGACATTTTCATAAAGCTGCTTTGAGAAACTCATATAGATTAATAATTGTACTGCATAAACCAGCGATGGTCACAAAAATAACTTTTATTTGTGTGTTTATGGCAGTTTATTGGAAAGTTAACACATTTTCAAAAAGCGTATTTTGGGTTTGATGAGTAATTCTGCCAGAGATTTGTGTAAACCGTCATCTCTGGTGTTATTGGACTGTTATCGCCCAACATCAAAATATGCTTTTAAAACGTTTGTTGTCCTCATATTTGAGCAGATCCTCGTGAGTCCTCTGGAGTGCCTCTTAACTTCTCTCATCTAGTTTTAGCGTTAAAAGGCTTTTAGTGAACAATTACTCTTTGACAAAAAGCATACTGTAGGCGTCCTAAAGTTAGGACCAGCATATCTCCTAACTCGGCTAATTAGGAAAAACTTTCAACTTTAGGATGTTTTGTGAATTCGGCCCCATTTGAAATATCTTGATTATTTCTGCTGTCGTACTCACTTGAAAGAGAAATGAACTAATCCATTCTTTGTGAGATGTGTTTGGGGACAAATTAGAAAATCTTATTTTACTTACTTTAGATGACTATAATCACAGATTGCTGATAGATTACTGAAATATTTCTCTTCACCAAAACCTCACTGCAAATTAACATGTCAGAAAAAAGTCTGTTAGCAAAGTCTGTTTCTCAGAAGCAAAGAAGAAAACTCTCAAAATCACACAGTGATTTTAAATAAATCACGTCTATGTTTAGGAGAAGTAAATGAAAGGCAGACTAGATCTTATTTAGGATATTGCTTCCCTCTGGGAACACATAAATGAGTTGAAATAGTCCGCACTCTCTGGCACTGTTGTTTTATGAAGCAAAACTCTCCCACATCTGGTGCTGTGAGCAGGTTAAAACAAACCGAATTTATTGCAAAACACTTTTTGAATGATGTGTGGAGCGGACCGAACAGCTCTCAACACCACATGTTTACAGCACGCATGAGTGATTTTTGCAAAGTCGATCCGTTTCTTCACAAACGCGGTTAATATTGAATATTCGCTCGTGATTCTGCCGTATATTTTCAACAACGCGATGTATCGTATTACTGCTCGCTTGTTGCAATAGCCTGGTTTACCCACGGGAATAATTAAAGGGGCGTTAAGTGATATGTGTCCTCAGCTTGTAGAAATTACATGGCAGAGCTTTTCCTCTTATGTGTCTCTGGCACAGCACGCAGCGCTCACCACTCCTCTCCCTCGGAGCTGTGAAGGGAAACAATACGTAGAAATAGTCACATTCTTAAGAGGTGATATGTCACTTTGAAGAGAACTGGAACAGTAGTCCATTTAGGGCTGGGCGCTTAAGTATATTAACAATATTGATAAGAAGAAGACTTTATTACTGGAGTCTGAGAACTGTTCATACATCACACGATGAATAATATATATCCTTCAATAATGAAAATGGCAGTCCCCCCCTCGCCCTTTTTCTTTTCTTTTATGCTCCACCATTTATGGATAATTAAATGCAAATTGCATAGAGCTAAATAAAGTCTCACTGTTCACGACTGTCAGTGGTAAGTAAATGTCATGGTGCTAAGCAACAGTTTTTGGTTTCGTTGTTATTGACAAATATAAAATTGTTTTAGTGAATTTGAATGCGTCAGCTTTGCAGTTTTGGTTCACTGCTTTCATCTGCTCTGTTTTCTTTTTCCTTTTATTGTGTACTAAGGTTGATTACAGAACAAGTGAAGACAATTACATGGACACATAAACAGCAAAAAAAGAGATTATACAAAGTACGACAAAGACAAATGACAAATGCAAATCTGCATTGTTTCTGGCCACAGTGGGCAGCTGTTGTAGGAGAACAACCTCTAGAGACTCACTGTGTGCTACCTGCCCGGCACCAAGCAGTACACAGACAGAGTTAGAAATGATCTAGGGAACAGAGTGGAGCTTTTAACTGCTACAGAACCCGATTTCTCCATTTTTTCGTAGACCAAAAGCAGACCTATAATGAGAGTGAATATTGGTCGCACATTTGATTTGATGGCCTAAACTCGACTCCAAGTGAGTGATAACACCAACACTAATCCCTTCACTTATTCTTATTTCCCCAGCACTGGGAAGCCAAGACACCAGAACAATGGAGGCCGAGGGAGATGGGGAGGATGAGGGGGACGACGTCTCCAGCACGACGGGGCCCCAGCTGGCCGGCGGCGTCACCGAGAGATCCAACAGCACCTCCAACGGACGCTCCTCCCAAATCCTCTACGTGATCACGTCCAGCCCCGGGAAACCGGAGCACAACATGCCAGGTCAGTGGGCTGGACGCGGCGAGACCACCGGCCACAGCGCTAGTATGTTAACACCCACGATACACTGCACCTCTCTCTCTACCTCTGCAGGCATGTTGTGTGAAGGTTTTAAGAAGCTACAGCTCTCATTGTGCATGGCCTGGTTTCTCTGGAAGTATTAAAATCTTAGTTTGATGAGACGCTTGTGGAAGTTTTGGCCCAGAGTGATTTCCTGCGATCTCGCATTGAAGTAATTCTACTTGACGCTTGTTTTTTCCTGTCAGTGACTCATAACTTAAGTTACTTTCGGGTCTCCCTGCTGATCACAATCAGGCCTCTTGTCAAAGCTGCAGAACGGACTGACGTGTTCTGCGTTTTTAGTACTTTCTTCAAAACTCTTGAGTGCTCCGCCTCAAAGGGCTATCTGTTGTATTTTTTCAACCGGAGGAGTGCACATGTGCACTGAGAATGCATCACCATTTCTTGACAATTTGCTGGCTGAACACTGCTAACAGGTGTGCCAGCAGTGCTTGACTAATTCTCCGCTTGCTAATCCTTTCAGTCTGCTTCAGTTGGTTTTCATTACCGTGATTCTGCGTCTGACGTCTTGTTACTGTGTTGCTGCCTCTCTGTAGTGTGGACCATTTACGCCCTTGCCGCTCTCCTCGTTCTGACGGTCATAGCCATGGTGGCGAAGCTGCTGCTGCACATCACGGTCAAGTAAGTATGATGATGTTCGAGGTGTGCTTGATCAACCAAGCATCAAATGTCAGAAAGAGGAAAGAACAGTGTGAGATTCACACATTTGTTGGATTGTTGCGCGATAATAGCGTCTTAAAAAAGAACAAAATGAGACAGTCTCTGGGAAAATTTGTGAATTCTTCAAGTTGCGTTCAGCCAAGCTTCGGCCCAGAGGGACTTCCTATGATCCCACATAGAAGAAATGCTAAGGGTGGCTTGCTTTTTCCTGTCAGTGACTCATAATTGAAGTTACAACTACACAGGGGAAGTTCAGAGATTCCCCTCATTGTAGCAAAACACAAAAATAGAAAATTGAGAAAGAAGACTCGTACCTTAAAACTCTTAGTATTGTCTAATCATTTTATTTAAGTAAAACATTACTTTCTTTCTTTTTGAAAATGAAGTAAAGTTTATAAATCCTCAGCTTTATTTCTGTTTTTAAATGTTTGTTATTCCCCATCTAAATGACGATACAAAGAAAGTCCAACAAGCCATTTCTTCATTTTTTACTCCTAAAACGGCACATTCAATATTTCCTTTTGTGATTACTATTTTATCAACTTAGGTAAAGTTGCTCATTTGAGGGGAATTAAATGAATTATTTAGTTTTTGAAGTGGAAGATAATAAAGCCTACAAAAGCTTCCACCACTGTCAGTGCCATTAGTTTGTGTTTATAATAAACCAGGCTTGGAATGAATGCAACATCAGGACTTAGATGGCAGCGTGACACACTTTGTAAATGCCTATCTTTCCATGATTCTCTTTTCTAATTCCTCTCTCATGTTATTTCTCTTTTACTCTTCTCTCTCCACCTCTTCTCTCGTCTCCTCATTTTCCCTCTCAGGTCTCCGAACATCCCAACGGTCAGCGGTTCAGACAGCTGCAGCCAGAGCACGGCGTCCTCTGAGCCGTGGATCATCCTGTACCGACCCTCCACCATCTCCCTCTTCAAGAAGAAGCTAAAGAACCACCACGGCGACCTCAGCCCCCTGGTGGGCAACTAGCGCCACTGCTGCGCTCCACCGTTGACCAAACGCTACCGCCAACCCACAACTACTCCGTACAAGGGCCGTCAGACGCCAGGCCCTCGGACAATGAAACTATATGAGGCGCTACGCCAACAAGCCAACAACTGAGTGGCTAATGAGAACTGACTGAGTGACTGCTGCTTAATGGCCTGTGTGCCAACGTGGCCGGGCCCTCCCCTCCTGGTCAGCACCAAAGAGGAGGGGGGACAGGCAGGGCTGTCAGTGACCTCAGTGTGGGAGAGGAGAGCGAAGGAGTAGATGGAGGACGATCTGCAGCTCTGACAAAGAAACAAAGACGCTTTTAACATGCGGGAAGCTTCTCTGGTTCAGCGAGGCTCCATTTCCGTCACCCTCGGATGTCCCTAACAATCAGCATACCTCCAAAAACCCATCCAGACTGCAGAATCACCAGTGAAAACACAGCAAAGCCGGGTGCAAGATACCTACTAACGGAACTGTTCAGTTTAGGAAACAGGGAGGTTTACCTCCTTCCTGATGCTTCAGAGTCACAATGGCAACAGCATCTTCATGAGAAGAGGATGAAGAAATGGAGTCTTTGATACACACACACACATGGTGTTACACAGCTTTGTATAAACTCTTTTAACTGCCTCATATGGACGACGAACACTTGCAGCCATAAACCAGAATCCTCCCCATCCAAAGAGTTATATATTTATTTGTCTTTTTGATTCCATATGCAAAAGTTCCAATGTTTCTTTTTGATTTGTTTTACTTGACAACTAGCTGTCTGAGGAGAGGGAAACAGGACACGGAAACGTCACACAGAAGGTAGATATCAGAGCACTTTGGGGATGAATCACTTGCTGAAAATTGAAAAGATCACAGAGGGAGAGAGAGAGCGTGCTCGCCCACTCGTTCACTCAGCGCTCATGCGGATTCGGGCGGAGAGATAAGCAGCGTCGTTCACTGAGGGGGTAGGGTGGTGCAGTTTGCAGCAAAACTGCCATTTAGGGAGGCTTGGGAAGATCTGAGGGCTTTTTCTGCTCGGCTGTGGGTGGGAGTCTTTCCGGTTTGATGGTGTTCAAGTGCCTTAAGGATCTCCTGTTCTCTTGTCTCAGCTGCATCACATCTGTTTCTTTCATGGGTCTCCCCTCACAAGAGTCTGCTCTTCTTCAAACTCAGCGTGTTTCATTCCATAGTAGGATTTCCACCGATTATATGTTAAGTAAAAGAAATGATGCCACATCTTGTACAGCGATTGAAAGCATTAGATATTAGTCTTTTTTAGTACACTCAACTGAACACCTCTCCAGACTGGATCTTTTACATTTTTTTTATTAGATGATGCTTTTTTTTTGGTTTTCCAAAAAGAACACAAAGCCTTTTTGGGACAGAACTCATCATGTAGTAACGGACAAGGCTTTAAATGAAATCTTTGTTTCTAATGTCTGTATGTGCTCTTATGTGTAGTCTTGGACATTTACTGAACATATTGTTCACATTAAGTTGTCTTTTGGTTACGGGGGGGGGGTTGAATAGTGTTGTATATTATGTAATTCAGTGTGGGAATGACATTTATGTCCGCTCTTTAATTTTGTGTCTTGACAAAGCATTTGAGATACACGTCAAAGTACTTCCTCGTCAACTTGGCTTAAAGGTGGAATGCCTTTGTTGTTGTTTTTCTCCCCTTAGACAGCAGTAAATTGCTTAAATTCAACAAGACACTGCAGACCTAGAAGGTTTTACTTGTCACCTTGATTTCAGGCCAAAAGGTTGAGTGTGAGCAATACACCCAAACAGAAATATAACTAAAAGCACTCAATGTTACAATGCACAAGCTGTCAGCAGGTTTGTAGCTGTGACGCTTTTCTGTGCATTGATGTGACATTTAAACCACTTGAGAAAGGTCGAAATCCACTAGTTTGCCAATGGAATAGTAATTGGCCTTTCCTGTCTTGGGACTGGATGTTTCTGCAGATGGTCACCTCAGAAATCTTCCAATCACAGACGGGATAAAGAAAAGAGAGGTTTGAAACGTCAGCGCACTTAAATAAAGCTAAATTAACTTAAAGTAAAGCTACTGACAAAATGATAAAGTACTTATTCACTGTCGCATTCGGTTTTAGTGGGAAGGGAAAAAAAGGAACGTACTTTGTGCAGCAAACTGAGCACTTCAGCCAAAAGGTCATATTTCACAACATGATGCCGCAACACAGTGACATTCATGTCAAAATATTTATGGTTTTCCAAGAATCTGAACAGGATTTGAGGCGCATAAAAAAAAAATGATGGAGAACCTTTCTTTCCCAATCAGAAGTTTGTAAAAATGTGACTGTGCTACAGTCTGCTTGTCTGCTCGACTGTAACTCATGTTAATTATTGCAAGACAAGCGCACATGCCCCTTGGTCTGTGATGTTCAGAGCCACCCATGCGTAGCGAGAGGGAGAAGGAAAAAAGCAAAGATGTGAGAACGATGGGAAATTAATGTGCGTTGAAATCAAACAGACTAATGAAATCTGACAGTTAAAATCTAACAAGGCCATATTTGTTTGGATAGCCTGGTGAATTATGCAAACTCCCATTTTCTGTCCCGTCCTCTAGTCAGTCGGAAAAATCCACGCTATGTCTTCCGAGCGGTGGAAAGGATCTTTTCGTTGATGTGAATGTCCCGTAGCGCTCGATGACGTGAAAACACCAGAGGCCCTGTGGGAAATAATCCAGAGGGTCCAAAACATTGTTTTCATGCAATTGTAAATAGCAAAATAGTGAAATGTTTAATTTATACAGTAAATTATTGTTATTTTGTATGTGAATGGGATATAATCTATCTTTTGTATAAGTGAAGTATCTTTGTAGTTTATTTAATGTGTCCTGGTTGCAAAATAAACACTGTATGCATGTTTCTTAAGCTTGTGTTGTGCTTGTTTTGTGCCACCCTCTTTTTATTTCATAATCGCACACAATCAATATTACCAACCCGAGTGGCTAAGAAGCATATGTGCCACAAAGACCGGATCAAGCTAATACCATTCACTTTCCCATTTGGAACCATTCCATTTGAAAGGCTGCATCGTTTGCATGGTGGGACATCTGCACCCCTTTTTCCTTTCTTTTCTTTTTTTTTCTATGGAGCTAAATACTTACCAGATAAGGGAAATGACTCCCAGACTGTTTGGAGATGCACACACACGGAGAGAGGATTTGGTGTGCCATGTGTAACCCATTGGTTCCCCTCCGGGATGAGGTCAAGCATGCAACCTGCACATTTTAGGGGGAAACAGCAGGAGTTCGGTTTTACAACTGAAACACCGTGAAAAAAAACAACAAACATGGAGTGACGTGTGATAAGCTGGAACACTTGAGATGTTTGCCAAGATGATTTCTTAATTCGTGAAACATGTTTCTGTGTTGCATTCATCAAGTGTTTTCACTATTTGTTGGCAAGACAACTGCAACTCCGCGCAGAGCCAAAAACTATTCTCTAAAAAGTTTGCAGTCCAAACATGCTCGTACGGAAGTGCATGTGCAATAACGAGGCCTCACAATTTGTCAAACACTTGAAGTAGAAACTGTCGAGGTTCCCAGAATGTCTTGGCTGTAAGGCTTCCAAAAATCCCAAATCAAGTTACCCATGAACCTCTGATGCTTCTGAACTGAGCCACATTCTACAGCAAAAACCCTGGGCGCAGGACTTCTTTAATATTTCGATAATCCGATTGATGCTACCTCAAAAAGTCATTCAGAAATCAGAGAGCTTCGGGAAGGGCAGGACAGGCTGTATTGTCAGTTTATCCATCACATAAATATTAGCAAAACTGTTTTGCAGCCACAAAACAAATGATCTAACTCACCAGATGTAGACTGTGGACATAAGCCTGGCATTGATCGTGTATCTCACGCGGCATTCTCCTCCTCTTCCGCTATCTATTTTGCAAGGGCGTTGATGCTGACTCTTGCCCAAGACGATTGTGATTGGATTAAAGAAATACAAAAAAGCCAGAGTTTTTTTCCCCCTATAGCAGAATGATAATGTGTGGAGCCAGACCTTTCTTTAGCTCTAAGGATATAGATCTGGCTGTGCAAGACTACACTAAACTAGTTTCTCCGTCTCACAAACAGCAAAGACTTGTTTTAGACCCAAACAGTGGTGGACTCAGGCTGTTTGAGGGGCAGGGGCCAAAAATATTAAAAGGGCACCAAATGCATGCGGCGGCACTAATACGCAGAAAGTCATGATGCATGTGTAGGGCATTGTAAAGACAGAATCACTGTGGTGATAACAATCATTTCTGGGTAAACAACTGTCCATTGACTTGAGCGGGATATTTATAATTGTTTGTCATATTCAGCTGTAACTGTAACATGACGTTTCTGCTGTGCTTATTCTACATACCATGTTGCTTTGCTAGCGTCTTATATTAAAACAAATTCTACCCAACAGCGACATCTCATTGCCGGTCAGACTAACTGCTAATTATGGGTAAACACAAGCATTCATTTTATTTGGTCTGTGGCCCAACAGGTAAATGAGGTCTCCGACTTAACGTTAGTGAAAGTGTTGTCATTAATGAGGTGTGAATGCATCAGACATGCTTTTTAGATCAGTCTTATTGCTCTTTAGTGGAGAGTATGTCTCCGTCGTTCCTCGTAAAATTGTATGGACGTAACATTGTTTTCTAGACAAACGTTGTGAGTGGTTCTATGTGACTCTGCATCATGTTTTCTGTTCTAGGAGAACACCAGCGGGACCTTTATCATATTTCCTCTACCATAGGGGCATCCAAGAGGGCACTTTAGCTGCGTTTTTTCTTGTTCTTTTGGATGAGGGCACCAGAGGGGGGCAAGCCCCAACATAAACCTGCTATTGGCCTCAGGTCACTTTGAGATTGTTTCATCTCCTCTTGGAAACACACACATTCCAGTACAGGAAACTAGAAGCAGAAAAGTGTAAACGATCCTCTCGCTCCCTCTACTGGTGACATGATGTTTGAGTACATTTATTCAAAAGTACCTCAATAATGACACTCTGTGCCAATGGTATTCATTTTTGCTTGCAAGAGTAATCAAATTATTAAATTCTTTTATTAAATGTTTCTAAAAAATCTGAATGAATGTCCTGTTCTGTTATCCACACGGCCGCAGTAAGACATCAAATCTTTGTGGCCTTCTACGCTCCCTCCCATTGACCTCAAAAAGTGTTTTGTTTTTTCTCAAAGGCAATTGTGAAGCTGTAACATTAATCCAGCTGCTAGACTCTTGAGACTTATCATCACTCCTCTGGGTGCATGTGAATAAAGCCTTGGCCCATTCTCCTCCCATAGCCGAGGAAAAGAGCGATGTAAACTGATCCCTTTGAACCCGAGTCGATCAGTAATTAAGGCAACAAAGGGACAATACATGGCGGTGTCTGGTTACTGTCAGAACGAGAAAGTGAGAAGAATGGAAGACAATATCTGCCACTTTCTGCACTCAGGGTACTGAAGTCAGGTAGATTAGGAGACAGACTGTCCTTGATGGATTTGTACATTGTAGAACTGTGTGAAAGAGGCTTACTGGCTGTGCAGGAACTTGTCTGTTTTGATCCGCCTCGCTCTGCAATATCGTCTGTGACCCTGGTGCAATTAAGGCACTCTCATGCCCTTCAGTGGTTTTGAGAACGTGCATTGGCCTGTTTAATGCTCGAGATTTCCCTTCTATTATTGTAGCTTTGTGCTGCTGAGAGTTGTTTATATACTGTATTCAGGACAGTTGAGTAGTGCTGAATAATAATTAAAAACCATTAAGATGTTCTACTACTACTAATTAATAATAGAACAATTCAGCTGAATGGATAGAGCTCTTTCCCCACCTGTGGTTTGGAGGTCTAACCACGAGAAAAGCTTTAACAGAGTATATATGCACATTTTCTCGTCTGCATATGTTCAGGGTTAAGCGATACAAGTTATATCTAAAGAACAACAAATTGCCAAATACATGTTGATATGAACGGATTATCAGTTTGCATGATGCGGATCCCATTTTGCATCAGTTTCCCATCGGACAAAACAAACAATGCCCAGTGGAGGATGCTGAGATGTCCTCATGTCACTCAATATTTTCTGTAAGCTGCTGGAAATACTCTTCACTGTTCTGCATGATTTTCACCAGATGAGGTCACAGCTCACCCAGCGTTGCCTGCATGTATGAGTATAATGTGTTTTTTTCCATGAGATGCAGACTTTTCCTGTTTTCCTCGGCCTCAGAGGTAGAGCGGGTTGTTGGAAGATTAGGGTTTGATCCCCGGGCCCTCCAGTCCATGTTGATGTGGCCAAGACACTTAAACCCCAAATGGCTCCCGCCATCGGTGTATGAATGGATGTATCAATGGGCGTGAATGTGAGTTAGTTTGGTTTAGTCCCTTCCTATCTTTTTAATAACGTTGTGACCCCTCAGCTTCATCTTAGGCAGGCTGTGAATAACTGAACTACACTGATAAAAGTGATTATGAGAAGATGTAAATGTAACGCAATTAAATATATGATATTAACAATGAAAATGTATGTTTTTATCTCTAACAAGGAAAATTATAGTCCTGGACTTAATCTGCATTTGTTTAAATGACAAGACATTGACAAGACACAAATTAGTGTCCCATCAACTCCTCCTGCATTCCTCTGAGCACTCTGACTGCCCCATTAGACGCTTTTTCCAACTATGATACAAACTCATCCCTGACAGACTTTAGCGACAGGACGAGGCGAGTGTGTAAAGGTTTAGTTTCCTCCACAGGCTCGGTGTTCTCACCACACAAAAACAGCCTGTCAACACTTTCCTACACTAGGGGTTAATGATGTCCTTAATTAAAATCGTTATGAAATGTTATTGACTTATGTTCTCACTTCTAGCGGTGAATATATACTATTGTAGTGATCTAATGTAATAATCAAGGAGAGGAATGTAATGGTAATTTTTTACATAGTATATATTTCTACTACGTATATGGTATTCATGCATAAGTTATTTTGCTCTGAACTTTGTTGAACTTCACGGTGTCTCTGTTGTGCAGAAGAAGAGTTCTCCCTCTCTGTTCACAAAGATAACTAACTGTGTTGTATGAGAATGTTCCAGCGCCAAGGCCTTTGGGCCGCTTGTTTTGGTTGCTGACCATTTGTTTTTCATTGTTGTTCCGATCAGTCTCAGACTGAAATGTCTGTAACATTGGCCATCGGCCCCCAGCTTTGCTCATTCCGTATGAAGAAAGCTTGTTCACTTTTTTTCTTGGTTCTTCCTTACTGAGACTGTACGCATTCTGTTGTGATGATTGAACCTTCTCTGCGCAGAGAATGAATACTGAAAAAGACAACCTGGGTTTTGGTATTATGTATTTCAGCATGAAAAGACTCACGCAAAGCGGGTATAGGAATTCTTTCCACAACAATGGTCCACTATATATGGTTGTTGTGTTTTCTTATTCTTTTATCATTGTTTTGTGTAGTTATTTACAGACTGAAAACAATATTTCAAATGTAACTAACTGAAAAAGAAAAGATATGAGTAAAAGTAAAATGCCACGCTAGGCTCCTAAATCTAGCAACTCACTTGATTGCGTGAGTGTTAAAAAATAATGACACAAATAGTTTTTTTGAGCTGATGATGGAAGTAGCTAAGGAGTGAGCCATCTCGGTTCCTTCACATCACCCAATTAATACTCATCTGGTTCATGAACTTAAATATTTAACATGACAATTAACTGTAGTCTCTGGTTTTATTTGATAACTGCTGATTGATAAAAGTATTTGTAGAGAGACCCACTCAGGATATTTGTACATATGATGCAGCAGGATAAAGACACGTTCTGAATTTCTACAGTGAATAAAAGCTCCTAGATACCAGGTTTGGTATGCAATCATACATCTTTTTGGATCATTACTATAACTGCAGATAACGGCCAAAAGCATAAAGACAAGATTTGCTGTAGTTGAATCATTATTTTATTGTTTGTTACAGGTCTCTGTTTGAAAGAGACAGATGTGTGTCTGAGAAAAATGACCAGGCAGGCAAACGTGTGGCTTCTTTCATCGCTGCACGTGCACATACAAGTCCAGGGTCGCGAGGCGAAACCACAGCGCTGCAGTGCCACCTACTGCGCATAGATAGAAATACACTTCTGAGGAAGTTTTATTAGGATTACCAAAATCACAGATATTCGTTGTATCAAATATTAATCAAATAAACAAAAATATGACCATACATTTTGTGTGCGTCACATTTACACATATCACAGCCTTCGTCTGGACATATTGTTTGTCCTGTAAAATCTAATTCTGTAAATCTAATTCAGAAAACTTTAAAATAATGTTTCATTATTTATTGTCCACAAATAATACACAGCACCCACTTATCTCCCCTCCTCCTCCTCGTCCTCCTCCGTGCCGCGCGTCGTCTTGTCCAGATGTTCTCCACATCGTTGTGAAAAAAAACTGAATATACTGAAGAATATTCAAATATGTTCAAAATACACCTCCAAAATATTAACTAAATATATATATATATATATATGGATAAATATAGGGATAAAATACAACATGTAGCCTATAAAACAATATATATATATATATATATATATATATATATATATACTCAGCAATTAGGCTGTAAACTACAACTGTTTATCACAAATATACTTATATTATTTGATTTGAACTTTTATATTTTACAGGCTAAATGTTTTATTTTGTCCCTGTATTTTTACTTTTTGCACTACTTTTGTGTTAGATTATAATTTTTACTCGCGTGTTTTTAATTATTTTTAATGCCTACATATGGGACCCAAGATTTTCAACAACCCACAGGACTCCTACAAAGAGTCGACAAAGGAGCCCGTCGCATGTGAATGACGACAGTCTGTCGCATAGTTGCGTAATCAGCCAACATGGCCGCATCCATGAGACTGCTGCTGCGGAGAGTGATCCGTTACTCTCACAGAGATATTAACGTTACCGCCGCTGGAGCTGCGGGTCGGTCCGGTTGCTGTTGGGGGCCGTCGACTTGTCGGTGTTCCAGCGGTGATGCCGGAGACAGAAGCACACATTTTGGCTTTGAAACGGTGCCCGAGACCGAGAAGGCGAAGAAAGGTGAGCCACGGAAAAGCTATTCTCGGATCGGTTGTGTAGCGTTACGAAACTTCATTGAAAAGCCTAGCAAGCGGGACTTTAGATGTTTTTGGGATCGTGACTTTTTGCTGGACAATTCGGCAAACAGTGTATCCATGAAGTGACTCCTCTGAACTGTTGTGAACGGGATTCCTTCTGCTTTGCAACCCTAACCCACAAGGAGTTTTGCTATAAGGCTGTGAGCATGCCTAATTTAAAAGTAGTATGCAGTAATTTGTCTAAATTTAAATTTGTGCATGATTTACAGATGTGTCTACATCATTGTAAGAAACTTTTATATTCCTAAAGTATAGTACAGAGAGAACATATTCGCTGACTTCAAGTTCATGTGTCAAAAGTGACAAAAAGTAAAACATCCAAAATATATTGGTGCATGGATAGTGCAGTAGAATATGTGAGTCAGCTTCCAGTGAGAGGATCTCTCTCTCTTCCTCTTGTCCCTTTCAGTGTATAAGGTGTTTGAGAATGTGGCGCAGAAGTATGACACCATGAACGATGCCATGAGTCTGGGAGTTCATCGCCTGTGGAAGGACGTACTGCTGCACGTCATGCACCCGCAGCCCGGGGCGCAACTCTTGGACGTGGCGGGCGGAACGGGTAAATGTGCACCTCTGCAAAACATCAAACTGTCACACTTCTGTTTTTAATTTGTGATGATTATCCACCATGCAGGTGACATCTCCTTCCGTTTCCTCGACTACGTTCGCTCCCAGCAAGAGCGGCAGACGCGGCGGGCGGCGCGGTCCATGCAGACGCCGTCGTGGCGGGACATCTCCAGTAACTACTCCTCAGAGGACGAGGTCAGCCCCCAGGGATCCAGGGCCGTGGTCTGTGACATCAACAAGGAGATGCTGAGAGTGGGCAAGCAGAAAGCCGACAGCATGGGCGTCAGTGCTGGTACGCTGTTGACTGTAAAACTGCTTGAAGTGACATCTGATCCATGTTGTTTTCCCTCAACAGGGAGTCGTGAGCGTGCACACAGGCCAGGTTCTTTAGGATAGCCCGTTCACGTTACTGTGCATGTAGAGATCCATGTTTCTGATAACAGTCTGCAGGGCCGGGCATCAAACCTCAACCCTTTCTGGAGAACCGACCAAAATGTGTTCATAATAACACAAAGTAACAAATACTGTCCAGTGTTGTAAGTTTTTTTTTCTTGTTTTGTTAATATTTGATTAGATTAATTTAGATTTAAATAATAACGTTGCTAATTTCAGACCGTGTATTATTTGGGCAAAGTTCTTGTGTGACTGTTTCATATTAAGACAAAATAACGAGCATGCTCAGATTCCAGAAGTTAAGCTTATTTAACGTAATGAAACAAATGTTTTGTTTATATTATTTACAGAAAGATGTGAAAAAGTATTGTTTTGGTACCAGTGATGAAACTCAAGATCATTTCCATTAATCTGTCCAGGAGCATTTGATGATGTCGTCAGTTCGTAAACATTGATGATTTTTTTTAATAAGAGTTACAACATGACATCACTCAGAATGGACTGGTGACTTCACCCACTGGCTCTGAATTGGGGGGAAACAAACCCTCAACATTTAGCAAAGTAATCCAGGCAGCAATAAGCTACAGTGGGTTCATATTCACAGAACAGTTTCATTAGAAGTGTGCGTGACCTGAACACGAGGACGGAACTGTTGCAGGATTAGGAAACGGAACTGTTGGTGTAAAAGCTGTCGCAAGTCAACAAACTGGAGTTGCAGCTGTAGAGAGAGCGAGGTCGAAGTGTAGACGGTTTGTTTTTTAACCCGAGTGTCTTCGCCTCTCTGTGCATCAGGTCTGTCGTGGGTGGCGGGGGACGCGGAGGAGCTTCCCTTTGATGACGACCGGTTCGATATTTATACCATCGCCTTCGGCATTCGAAACGTCACCCATATAGATCAGGTAACGGACCCGGACGCGACTACGGCTTTTCTCTAATGCACGGAGGATCCCATGAAGACTGTTGGTAGAACAGGGTCGACTAAAGGGCCTCTGAGCTGCTGCCTGCTCCATGGACAGCAGCTCTGTCAGCTGGCATCTGTTTGAGAAACAATGTTACAATATGCAGAGAGAGACATTGTGCAACAAATCCGTATGCATTACCTTGATTCACGCGCTTTAAAAACAAAGTTGTTTTAGGTTACATTTTATGTGACACTTATTGCTACATTTCCACCTCTTGCACATGCATTCATGGGACCCGGTTCAACTTGTCTGTTCAATTGCTAAATGTAAACAGTTACTTTTATTGTTGATTATACTTTTCATTAATTTTTTTTATTCAACTGATTCATTTTTCAATGTATATAATATCAGAAATCTGAAAAAAATTCCAAGATGTCTTTTAAATTGTCCTAAATCCAAGGATACTCAATTTTCAGTGACTATGAACACGGAAAAGCAGCAGATCTTCACATTTAAGAAGCTGTAACCAACACTTATTTTACTTAATAGCAGACTTGATTATGATTAAATAATTCAAATGGGTGTTAATCATGTCTTTTCTTTTTTTAAGGCGCTGCAGGAGGCTCTGCGGGTTCTGAAGCCTGGTGGCAGATTCATGTGCTTAGAGTTCAGCAAAGTGACAAATCCTGTTTTATCGAGGTGAGGAAGCAGCGCTCACTGGTGACGGAGGACTCGGTGTGAATATGACTCAACCGTGTGAACCTCAGAGGGTCTCCAGAGATTCATTACTGCCGTCACAAAACCCAATGGCACATCTCAGCTGCTGCAGCTTGTTGTTGCTGCTGCAGCTTGTTGTTGCTCATGGACAAGCCGTCTTAAATATGAATACATAACGGGACAAAATAAGTGTTGCAGTCTCACCACATTCTAGAAGCAGTGTATTTTTAATCTTGTAACAGATATCCTACTATTTTGAGACATTTACCCTAAATGCTTGGCTTTACTAAACACAAATGTTAAAATGTATATATTTGTCTGAATGGATTTTGTATCCTACCGTAATCTTCAAATTTTAGAAACTCAGCAAATGTTTGCTTTGGCCCAACAGCGCCCTCTTCTGGTTTTGTACGTCAAAGCACTTCAGCAGACTGGCTGTTTAATGGCTGCGTGGAGGGCCACCAGTCTGTGGATCCTCACTCCTTCAAGAGGAGAGGGAGGAATCAAGAGGACGATCGCCTGTAGATCATCAGAATTCAAACCTGCAAACTGTTGTGGCTCATGGTTAACGAACTCTGCTGTGGAGGCTTGATGAGTCTTTTAGGTGATCGTCTAATAACTCCACATGTTTTATAGATGTCATGGTTTTTAAAGGGCCATTCAGTCACATCCAACTCCCTGCAGATGTTTGACCTGATGAACAAATAGGCATTTCTTAAAATAAAGTGCAGTGTTCAGGATGCTTTCAGCTCTGAGTTGAAGCTTTTTCAACTCGAGGCGCTAAGCAATGCAAAACGCTTCGCTCTCATTGAAAACCATTACAAACGCCCTCCGTCTGATCGGGCCCCTACTCTTTCTAAACAAACCGTTCTTTGGAGCACATAACAAACGTAGACTTTGTTCGTTGTTTGAAAGATGGCAGCAGGTTTGAGTTGTGAGAAAGCAGCTGTTGGCTTCATCGTGTTCCGTTCTCGTTTTCAGGCTTTATGACGCATACAGTTTCAACATGATCCCGGTTTTGGGAGAGGTGATTGCTGGAGACTGGAAGTCATACCAGTATCTGGTGGAAAGCATCCGCAAGTTCCCGGACCAGGTGAGACAATCATTTATACTTTTGTATACATTGCCACTCTCAATCTTTTGATATTATTCACCTCAGGTTAGGGCTATTTTAAATGTTTTATTCCTTTTGATTGTACAGATCTTATTCTGGGTATATGCAGGGATCCTTAAGTTATTTAAACATTTTTAAGACCCTTACCATATGCTTTAAAACCTCATTGCCACTTTGAGATCCAACACTCTTTACTTACATTCACTGCCACCTATCGGGCCATCTAACAGCAGCAGCAACGGGAGCAATTTTAGGGTTAAGTGTCTTGCTCAAGGACACAACGACATGCGACAGGGATCGAACCGCCGATCGTCTGATTGAAGAACTTGACCACAGTCGCCCAGGACTTATTCAGGGACTGTAACTAATGACCAATAAATTATTCTATTGACTTTTCTTTTGAATTCATAAAAAGTCCACCAAGAATCCGAGATGTCTTCAACTGTTTTGTCTGGTCAGCAGTACAGTTTATACTATTCATTTAATAATTGATTTATTCAGAGAGAAGCGGCAAATCATCAGTCAGAAACTTGAACCATAATTATTTTTTTCTAATGTGATAAATGACGTGAATGATTAATCAACTATCTAAATCTCTGCTGATTCATGTTTAGTGAATTGACTAATTGTTGAACATTTTTTTTAGGGCTATTTGCCACATCGCCAATTTACATTTCTTCAACTTGTGAGATGTTTCATCCGTTTTAATGTCATTTATCAGTTTTACTAACTGTAGTTACTTTAGTAATGTTATGTTGTGGATTCAATGTTGGCGAGTCATTTCCTGTGCTCTCCTCCTTCTGCAGGAGGAGTTTAAACATATGATTGAGGACGCAGGTTTCTACTGTGTGAAGTACTACAACCTCACCGGTGGAGTTGTGGCTCTTCACTCTGGTTTCAAGCTGTGAGATGCACTTTGACCTCTGTACTGCAGGCCTTTCTGTCCTCACATATGTTGAGCATGAAGTCCCAGAGCTCCTCTGCTGATGTCTGCTCAATGACTGGACTCAACTGTACCAATGTTGGTTTATATGATGTAAAGAAACAATCTATTGGGAAGTGAGTAATTATTTTGTTTAGTTTTCAATATTTTTTTCAATACAATTTGGCAACAAATAATAAAACTTGTTGAGAAAAGTTGATCTCAGTATCTGAACTGATTATTCTCAAAGCTACAAAAGGCAAACTTTGTGTGTAAAACAAAGTATAGCATGTGTAAAACGGACTGTTACAGCCCGCCTCAAAGGCTGCAACATAAAGAGAAACAAACAAAAAGCCGTGTCAGCCAAAGAAGAGAAGCCGATCCATGTTCAGATGGTGTCTTTATAGCCATCACTACACCAGGCTCAGGTGGGGCTCATCAGCTGCCGATCAACATCCTGAAAGACAGAATAGACGGCAAGCAGGACACAGACCCCTAGTGGAAGGGAGGGGTCATCACAGGACACAGTATAGTCTGTGGAAAAAAGCCAAAAGTATGCCCTCCATAATCAGGCCCCCTCCTACCTCACCGAACCTGCTCCACCACCACACTCCATCCCGTCGCCTCCGCGCCTCTGAAGCCAACCTCCTGTCTCTTCCACTCAGGACCAAGCACCGGACATGGGGCGACAGAGCCTTCCCCATAGCTGCCCCCTCCCTCTGGAACTCCCTCCCCAAACACATCCGAGACTGCACCGCACTCTCCATGTTCAAATCAAAACTCACCTTTTCAGAACTGCTTCTAATGTGTGATGAATGTTGTGTGTTCTGTTTTTAGTGTAGAGCTTTTTATGATGATTTTAATGTTTGTAAAGCTCTATAAATAAAATGTATTATAGTGTGTTGGAATTCTTTTCAAAAAGTTGTATAACATGTTGAAAAACCTTTAAAAAAAGGTTATAGTATTATGTTGAAAAATGTCCATAAAAAGTCATACTATAGTATGTCGGAATATAGCATGTCAGAGTTTAAAAAAGTAATGAAAAGCCATAGTATAGTATGTTGAAAAAAGTATTTTTTAAAAGTCATAGTATTTCCATAAAAGTCAGTGTGTTGAAAAAGTCATAACAAAGTCATAGTAAAGCATGTAGAAAAAAGTAATAGTCTAGTTTTTCTAAAACTGTCTAGAGATAGTATGTCGAGCACTATGAAGCGAGATGCACTCATGACTAATATAGAACAAAGACTGCTCTTCTGTAGGCAGATAATGAAAAAGAGGAGACCACAACATGAGTTACTTGAATAAAACTGTATATTTTACAGATCTTTGTACACTTTAATTACAAAACCGTATGGTACTAAAGTTTTAAAATCAGTTTTTTGGTCAGAGAAGATTTAATCGTCTTGTGTGCAATTACCATGTATATACAAAGTCTCATGTTAGTGATTTTTCTCAAAATAAAAAGCAACCAAATAACTCAAACGTTCATACACTCTGAACATAAGACATGGCTTAAAGATAAATATATTAGTAAATAAATATTCAGAGAACATATTTCCATTCATGAAATGCGTTTGCTATACAGGTACAGAAATATACACGGATCGATTTCTAGCCTTTTTTTAAACATTTGTAATGGTAATGACAGAAAATAATTATATTCTTAAAAAATTAAAAAATATTAATTTTTGTACACATTTTAATCTTAAGTGCTAGAAACAATAAAGAAAATTAAATAGTGACTCAAGTACCCCAAAATGTTATATTTGCAGTAGGTACATATCTCTATGCAAAAGGCAAGATTAGATTCTCTCTTGATTACAGCACGGGGTTAACTTATAAATAGGGTTATTTCAGAAGGTTCTCCTCTGTGTAGAGAATGTGTATATTTCATAGAAACAGTATAAAAACAGTCTGCAGGACAAACAGAAAGGCATGAATGAAATGCATTGATATCGCGAGTATGTATTATGCATGGCACGATACGATTCAAACGGATACACTGTGGTATGTATAACTGCATCGTTAAAAAAAAAATTTAAAAAAGTCACAGTACAATAAGAAAACTCTTATGAAATATGAGTCTTTTCCAGCTACTTTCCTTTGGCCTTTTGATACACGCTTCAACCCTTTTATAGATATCTATTAGAGCATGCCTCATTGAGGAAATTGGGTATATGACAGCAAAAACAAAATAAACTTTGAAGGGCTTCCAAACAAGAGGTAAGAGTGCTACACTCTACCTCTGAAGAAATCTACTGACCCCGAGACACCGTCACGTCGCACTGGCGTTGGACTAAAAGCGGTGCAGTGTCTTTTAGATATTGCTACAAACAGCGTTACCAGCGTAAGGCTTTCATGTCGCTCTGGCACATCTCACACAGGCAGGCCACGACTGGACAGAAATGCAATGCATAAAACAAATTCTGTATTGTATTGAATAGAGACCAGTGTCCGCCTTGCATTCACATTTCTATGCATTTTGTTCTGTAATTTTATATATATATA